TATATATATACTCATATATTCTGTATTTATCGTGCATAGTATGAAAATAGTTGCGCACGATAAAATTGTATCGAAATAATCGATGTATTGAAGACGCGTGTACATAAATAAGTGCGTGATTGTTTACATTTTATATAGTAAATATTTCACTCAAAACTCAAATTTAACTCAACTTAAACTCAATTCCACTATCTCCAATATCATCAATATAATTAATAATATCAATCAATCATCATTACACATCACATCAACTTTAATTCAGTATTCATCCACTCACAAAATTTTAACTAACCATCACTTCCAATCATTTTCTCATACTTTTACATCAAATCAACTTTAATTATTTTAAGGTAAATATTATTTTAATATATCCACTAACAACTAATCATACTACTTTTAATCAAACTTAACTATAGTTAAAAATAATCTAGTTTTTTACTAGTTGAATTCATATCCAATCATTCCCTAAGTATGTAACAACCTATTAAAAAATTACACACAACTTAAAAAAATAGAAAAAAATGTAAAAAAAAAAAAGAAAACAAAAATTCACAATTATTTTCTTATGGACGTTGGGCGAGGGGATGTTAGTTTTTGGGATGAATGGTGGTTTAGGGATGAACCACTTTCAACCACTAGACATATCACTTACTTTCCCCTCCTTACGCGGTGAAAGATTTGTGGTCCAATATGACATGGGAGAGGGATAGCTTAGAAAGGATTTTGGGTATTAGAGCGGGCTTTAGTGACAACCTTATAGAGCAAATCTAGCAGATTCCCATCTCGGAGGATGGATTAGACGGTATGAGGTGGAGACTTACATCTTCGGGTGCTTTCTCTACGTCTTCAGCTTGGAGGGAAGTTCGGCAGGGTGACCGGCCTAACCTTCTCTTCGGGGCCATTTGGACCGACCACCTTACCCCGACCATCTCAGTTTTTATTTGGCGTTTTCTTTTGCACCAGATTCCGATTGACTCTGTGGTGCAGGAGAGGGGGGGATCTCTTTCCCCTGGCAATGTTATTGTTGTACCGAGACCGGTGATTTACAGTTTGAGACTTTTTCTCATTTATTTTTAGAGAGTGAGGTTGCGAGGAGAGTGTGAGAGTATTTTTTCACTTATACTCATGTACCCCTACCCACCACAGACAAATTCTTTGTGCTTCTGATTTTTTTTTACACAACGCACACACACTAGACACATGGGCTTCCTCATTCCTGTTTGTCATTTGGACAGAGAGAAATAGTGCGAAGCATAGAGATATTACCTTCACGAGCTCTCATATTGTTTTGCAGGTAGATCGACATCTCTCCCTCCTCACAGCACGAGGAAGACTCACTCCTTTAGAGTGGACAGGTTGTACACCGCCATCCCGACTCTTACCACCTCCACTGATGCCTGTCCAATACCCACACTAGTAGAAAGAACTGTTTTTATAACGGGTAAAAAAGGCTTTTTATAACGGTTTTGAGTTCGTTATAGTTTCAGGCGTTATAGAAAGTATGAACTTTCTATGACGGTTGTTGAACCATTATAAATTGGCTGACATCTATAACGGGTAACACAGACCCGTTATAAATATTTAGTTTACCTGTTATAGACTACACTATTTTATATCAGTTCCTCATTTATCCGTTATAAAATATACAATATTTATAACGTACATTCATTTACCCGTTATAAGCTTCTTTTGTTTACACTATAATTTATAACGGTTTACTAAATACCCGTTATAAAAACAATGAATTGATAACGGTTAAATAATGACCCGTTATAATTTTGAACCCACATTAAAATGCACAACTTTTTATATCGTAGATAACACCTGTTATAGAAAAGGGTGCAACATTCTATTTTGGTAAAAAACAAAACTACCATATTAACACACAAACAAAACTACCATATCAACAATACCAAGTGACAAATAGTTTCACACCACATGTTCAACAAACTACGAAGCTTGTCTAACAAAAATCTAATCTTATCCTACTTCACTAATGAAGTTATATCGAGAAAATGCTGAGTCCAACGTCTCATTACATCATCAATATCATCACTCGAGAAGGGTTCGTCCAAATTAAACACCTGCAATTTGAAAATATAATTATAACATATTATCAAGACAAAAAGATAGAACAAATTATTTACGTGATAATATAATAGTGCTTGATATTTACAAATTATTTTTGTTCACAATTACCTTATCAAAGTTGTTAGTAACGTCTAATGTGATGATTTCCAACATATATCTCATGACGAAATACCCGCATTCAACACCTCCCGATTGTTGGCGACACTTGTAAAATATAAAAAGAATCATATAAAATTAATAATTTATGAATAATAAGATAAATGTGATGACTAAATTTCTAGTAACAAAATGAAATTGCAAGTTATAAAATAACATTATTTAAAAATTTAATTTACCTTTGGATAGACCAATTCAGGTTTCTGTTTGTAGGGATGATTTCCCTTCATTACCTGATATGTGGAAAACGCCCTAACATAATAAATGTAAAATAGAGAGTTTAGTTTCAAAATAAATTCTAACCAATATATCAAAATCATCTAAAATAAAACATACGTCGTGATTTTCTGGACTATATCACTCTTAAGCTTTTTTGACAAAGAACAGAAGCAAACCACCATATTCTGTTTAGGGCAAAGTACAATCAACTGCCAATGATCCCTAATATTTCAAAAAGAAGAAAACATAGTTGTGCTGTTAGTTTATACTTATTTGTATGGGACAACAAGAAATGACATGAAAGTGAAGTTACTTACTGGCTCAGATATGGTGCAAGAAAGCATTCAAAATTTCCCTTTATCAGTCTTTCTTGAATGTAGTTCGTTGCATGTTCTCTACTGTTACCTTTGCTTTGGAGTGAGAGCGGACACATCAATCCATATTTATTTTCTCTGCCAGATTCTTTCAAATTTTTGTGCAAATACCTGTGAAAAACAAAAACAACAACAACAAAAACACTAACAACAACGACAACAACAAAAAAATAGGTATATCTAGTTTCATAATATAAAAAAAAAAATAAGAAAAAAATGGTTAAAAATTACTCACAAATTAAAGAACTGTACTATAGATACACAAAGTCTTTGATTTGTTAAGAGCTCCATGATATCCTTCTGATAGACGAACAAATCCATTTTCTCACCGACAATCCCTGACTCCACAACTACATGGACTGGTTGTGTAATGTCAATCGTTGCATTCCACAGATCTCTGATCACATCCGTCTTAGGTTTTGGATCCATTTGCTTTTGTTGGAAAGCATCCTATATAAATTAAAACAAACCACTAAAAAGAGCAATTATTATTGAATGCATGTAAAAGAATATATTTAGGAAATATATGGATAAAAAAATTATTTACCTTTAGATTTTTCGCAACTAGATTTTTAGGCCAAGCAATGAATTGACTTGGAGCATCCCTCACGAAAGTGACCTCATCTGTCGGGTATGGCACAAAAGCATCTCCAACTATAACCCGTGAGACCACAACCCGTACGTCTCCATCCTTCATCATTCGATGGTGCATGGTTGAACCCAAATTGTGGACATGGCCATATGCCACCAATCGCCTTTGGGGGTCCTCTATATACAATTCATATTCCTCGTCGTCTTTGCTCACATCCGAAGTTGGAGCGCCACCTTCTGTCGTGCTCAGGATTACTGGAGAGCTAGGTGAAATGCCTGGCTGAGAACCAAGTTGCATCATCTTCATCACCTCACCTTTTACCTGCTCTGCAACTTCTTCTTTCACCTGAGATATAATGACATCCAACTCCTGCCGTGACACCATTCCTGCACCTGCACTTGGACGGTTTGATCGTCCAAAAAAAGCCTTAATGCCCACGCCCTTTCTGACTCCCCTCACACGGCCAGGATGTTCTGGCTTTCCTATTGCTACTGCAAGAATATCATTTCTACCAGAAGGTTTGAAATTACCCTGGGAAGATTGTTCTTCCAAAGAATCCTGCAATAAGCACACAAAATAATATTTAAAATGCATTATATGGAATAAAAAGTAATGAATTGAATTTAGTATCAGTATTTACTTACAATCTTGTTACCAATAGTTTTAGCCTCCTCGGAGGTATAATTTCCATCTAATTTCAGACGAGCCCTTTTCCACATCTCATGGCGAGAGGGAGGAGATGGGGGGGGAACAATAACACCTTCATCTAAGGAGGCCTCTCTCCTGGCCTTGTATTTCTCCTCCATCATTTTTCTTTTCAAAAGAGGTAAACCACCTCTAGACAAAATATGGGGATACTTATTGTGTGATTGTGTTTCTTGTGCTTTTTTTCTTCTTGCCTGCATATATATAAATATATTACATGGTCTGGTTCAAAATAGACTAATGATATATTAATCACATGTAGTCATGAATGACAGAACTAATATTACACAAAAGTAAAACTTACTAAGAATTCAGGAGTTTGACGAGATGCAACAAAATCTTCCCATGTATCTTTATCAAGATACGGGTAAGTCTTGATATATGGAAGCTGACGCTTTTTTTCCCGAATATGTAGCGATTGAGGCTCGTCTTGAAACTCCTCCAATTGTCCCCAGCACGTCTTAACCAGTATTCTTTCAATTTTTTATCATTCGGCAACTCAAATATCTCCTACAAACACATAATTAATAATATTGTATAATTTGTTATCAGAACTAACATAGGATAAAACAAGATGGCACACCTCAGTATGGACATTATGACTATACAACAAATAGTTATCGGAACTGCATGCTAACCATGAAGAAGCACAGTTAAGGGTATGCTAAACTAATCTGTTCAAGACAAGCATTGTATACGTGGAACAAACTTAAGTAAATTTTGAGAA